ACTCTTCAGACATCAATCATAGAACTTGTCTGATCTGGTTCAGATTCCAAGACGCGTCGCACGTTAAAGCGTCAAGGAATATCCATTCAATTATTGCTATCATGTGTACGTGTTTCATGGAAGAAGAAACCCCTCTCTCGGGGAGAACCAAAAACTATTTCGATCTTGCAAGCCAAACACCTCCATTATATCCTTGCATAAATTTATCTGGCGAATGTTCCTCACGAAGACTTCGAAGCCTATATTTCATCACGAACAAAGTTCATCTTGTCTTCCAGCAAGAACTTTACTTTGGTATGCTTGTTAGAACTTTAGGGTTTACTCAAGAGGTTACATCAGAAAGCAGATGCATGGCAAAATTACTCAAAAGTTGCCATGCATTTTTCTGCCTAAAGTAAAAAAAAAATCATCCAAATTGTATAGTGTTTTAAAAATGTTGTATAGAGTTTTTGTTTTAAAATTACCATATAGTGTTTTGATTTCAAAAACATTATAATGCTAGTTCAAAAATACTATATATTATTTTTTATTTTGAAAACACTCTATAGTGTTTTCAAAACAAAGACACTATATCATATTTTTTTAAAAATAAATAGTGTTTTGTGGATATAAACTAGCCATCATTCTCATGGTGATCCTTATTATGAAAGATTAAAAATAAGGATCACCATGCGAATGATGTTTGAATTCAATTCTAAGAAGCTATATAAATCTTACAACTTTTTGAGCTTGATGTTTTATTGTTGATTCCCTTAATTATTCCTTTGGTATAAAGTCACTGCTGGCACTTGATCTTGATAATATTCTGATAACTATTTGAAGTCAATATTCACTTCATGGAACATTTATATCAATGATGCCACACTCATATGTTGCATTTATATAAGAACATGATAGGAAAAACTACAATAGGGTGGTTGGGAAAAATTGCAATGGTGGCTTTGGGTGTAGCTGAAAAAAAAAAATCACAGTAATAATGATTAAGGGCAGAGGAACAAGAGAAGAAGAAAAAGGAAGAAGATGATGGCAACATAGAGGTCATTCTCAATTATCCGAGTAGTATTCTCACCTTAGGTTTTATTATATTTATAATAGATTCTTGCTGTGATCACTTGGGGAGAGATTGGATACTGTGCACGGTGACAAAATCCGTGTATCCCTATTATTCTCTTATGATTGTCACTCGAATTTTAGGCAAGAGACTTCAAGATTTGTACATTCATTATTTCTATAGTAGTTCTTTGGCTTACCTCATGATTTTTTTCCTTACTTACTCCTATTTGTTTGTATACAAGTTTTTTTATCTTAGTGATTGTCCATTAATGGGCCAGAAAAAGAGCAGTCCATGTTAAGAGTTCTTATTCCTTAGTTGATGATATCTACAACATGGTACTAGATTTGTAAGCTTGCATGGATCAAGAATCAGATCGTGGATTCAAGGACTTGGACCAAGAAAACATCGAGGCATATACAAGAACTGGACGACGAGCTCTAAATATGCATGGATGAAAGTGGAACATGGAGTATAATGAACTCAGGGGGTTGCTGATGAGATAGGTGAAGGCATGTGATGCCCACTGTTAGTGTTGATTAGCTACTCAATAGTTGACATGATAAGTCAGATCTAGAGATGACCAAATCCATCAGCAGCACAGAATCCTGAAACCACTCCAAGTAGACACATCTAACAATCAACATCCAGATGCAAATGATTCAGAAACGGATAGAAGATGAGAGGGAGTCGTATGGAAGGTACATAAGAACACAACCAGTTTAACAAGACAGTGAAGCGACAATTACTGGTCGAGTGAACTGAAACAAGGCATGGTAATCATTGCTAACAAGCTATTTCTTTTCATCAGCATACATAGTTTCAATTCCTTCGAAGCACTTAGTTTTCTTATATAGTTTGCTCATAGAGTGATACATTTTTTATGCATGCATCATATGGCACCAAACAAAAAAATTCATCATTTATGCATGCATCATATAGCTTGCTGGGCACCTATGACTAGCATTATGTATATCGTACTATATATCAGGTCTGATATAGCTCTTGCTTTGAGTGTCACGAGCAAGTATCAGGTAGATCCAGACTTGGAGCACTAGAAAGCAGTAAAGTGTATCCTTAAGTACTTGAGAAGGACTAAGGATCTTTTACTGGTATATGAATATAGTAACATCAAGGTTGACAGCTACATGGACTTGAGTTTCCAATCCGATGTCGATGATAGCAAGCCGAATTTGGGGTATATGTACACCCTGAATAGAGGAGCAGTATGCTAGAAGAGTTCCAAGTAAGATACTACTACTGACTCGACCACAGAGGCGGAGTACATTGTTGCAATAAAGGTAGCAAAGGAGGGAGTATAGATGAAGAAGTTCATCATAGATTTGGGAGTCGTGCCGGGCAGCGAGGAGCTGATTCCCTTATATTACGACTATAACAGGGCGATTACTCAAACGAAGGAACCCATACCTCATCAGAAGTCTAAGCATATTCTAAGGAGGTTCCACCTAATTAGAGAGATCATGACTCGAGGAGATGTAGTAGTGGAAAGAGTTTCATCCAAAGATAACATCACAGATCCACTGACAAAACCATTGTCTTTTAGCATCACAGGGGTTTGATGGGGATCAGA